TGGTCACCATTCCTGAGTCAGAGCTCAGCATCGGAAAACTCTTCCAATCACTAAGCATGTAAATGTCTAAGCACAGACTCAATTCTCTTTAATACAGAATCAAAACAGAAATTGAATAGAAGTTCTCCTCTATCAAAAACATATCTGATAGTGCAGTACATTCAATTATAAATGCACTATTTTCCTTTTCCTTTTTGAAAATCATACAAAATAAACTTTATCAGAATTCCTACATTTCTAACTCTCAAGCAAAATTATTTTAAAATCCTATCAAAAGCTATAAACAAGTAATCAATAGGATCCTAAATTTCTGGTAATACAATTAATAAAGAAGAGTGATCCTAGGAACATTAGTAAAGCAGTTCAATTACTTGTTGATTCAGCACAAAATACTGATATTAGTAAGAAAACATAAATCTCATATTCTGTCACTACAAGTCACTGACACGTGCAAATCACCTCAAAGGACATTTGATATTGGTCAGTGATGAGAAAACTGGAAAGCCCTGAGATTTTATAGCATGTACGTGAAAACACCTTTATAGGACCTTTCCCAAATAGAACGGTAATTCTAAAAATTTACGTGAGTTATGAAAACTCTTCTAAATTCTGAGTAATAAAAAACTAGGTTTAAGCTGCTATGATATTTTCTCCATAGAAATACTATTCTTAATTATTTTCATATGAAGACATCAAAGCGCTTATAGCAAGAACCCATGGGGGGAATATTATAAAGGTGTATCTGAGAATTAATATTATATTACTTTTAAGGATTCCATAATGTTTATAATATTCATCAGCTTCTGACAGTTTGTAAATCATTGGGATTACAATTTTCACATTTGTATTTATTTTTGTGATTTTTCTTGAAGAGAATCCACAGACTCAAATTTTAAGTTTGAAATCTACAAGACTAAAATCTGTCCTTAATAAAACACTCATCTTTCTCAATTCCTTGCCTTTAGGTTTCACCCCTTCTCCCCAACCCTGGACTAACCCCATCTAAAATACATGTAAAGGACAGGGTGGGACATGTAACTCAGTGGGTAGAGTATCTGCCTAGCAAGTGCAAGGTCCCAGGTTTGATCCCCAGCACTGACAAAAAAAAATAAATAAAAAGTACATAAGGAATAATTGAATCAGGAAGTCGACCCTCACAAATCCCCCTGAAATAACCAACTCAGACAAAGATCACTGATACAAACTAAAGCCATACAGCAAAAAGTTTTGGGGAACAAACTACCCACGTGATGTCCACCATAACCTCACAGATTGCTTGCTAACTGCAAAGGGATAAATGTGGCCTTACAATGAAGGCCACCTTCAGTGCATTAACTTACAACTCCTAAGAGATATAACCTGGCAGTTTTGCCCTTCCTGATGTGATACAACATGGAGTACACAGCATCATCCCTAAAGAATATTCTTGCTAAAGAAAAAACTGAATCTAATCAAGCTTTTTAGACCTAACTTTCAGTTTCAGAAATGTAGGGGCTAGAAGAAACAGGAAACCCCACAAAAAAAATAAGCAGACAAAGCTAGAACAGTCTATAAAAAAAAAAAAAAAAGACCTGATCTTCTCCAAAAGCCAATGCTACAAAAATAAAAAGAGGAAGGGACCATCCCAGAGAAAAAAGGAATATAATAATCAAACGCAATATGTGAACTTTGAATCCTGGTCCTTCCTCACTCTCCAAATCACTATAAAAGACATTTGAACACTAGAGAAATTTGAATATGAGCACTAGAAAACTAAGGCAGCATTGGAAAATTACTGCTAATTTTCTTTAATATAACAATAGCAACAGGGTTATGAAAGAACCCCGTTTTTTATTTTCATGAGACTAATGCTAAAGTTCTTGGTGGTAAAGTTATAATATTTATTATTTACTTTCAAAAGGTTGAGCAACTTTATGTTTAAAATTTTTTATAATTAAAAAATGGAAACAAGTAAAACTTATTAAAGATATTTTTCTCTCATTTGTTCAAACTAACCAAAGAAGATTTTAGTAGAGTTGAAGTAATTACTCTTGTCAACATTAGCAGTGAAGCAGTAATGAAAGGGGTTAATGTTTTTGGAACTGCCACATTATTCCAAAGAGTCTCCCAGAGCCCAAATGTAGTCATGGCCTGCTTAATTAGTGTTTGTGAGTGGCTTAGGGGCATTCTTAGACTGCTGTCATTGAGGATGGAAAAATCACACAGAAGTAAAGGGGGAGGGGAGTAGAACTCAAGTAAACAAAATTAAGTAACAGCTGACTTATTTTATTAATTTTAGAAAGAAAAATGGGGGGAGAGGTAGCCCAAACAATATATATACATATGAATAAATGTAAAAACAATAAAAAATTAGATATGATTTCTTTCAGGGACAAGGCACACTTCCAGTGGTTTATTTCAAAACTAAAAGATTACATTTATTTTTCATTTATACAGCACTTTGATATGAGTTACATCTTTGACTTCATAAACTAAATTATTAACCAGGAAAGTAGTATTTCCATTTCATAGATGAGGAAAATGAGGTTCAGAGAGGCTGTATGATTTGCCTGAGATCCCACAGCTAGTGTGAGCCCTGGTCCTTTCACACTTGACCACTGTCCTCTAGATGGTCACTGAGCAGCTGTCTTACTCTCTAAGACCTTCCTCTCTGAGCTTCAGTTTTCTGCCTAGATAGTCTACGACTCATATGAGAAACTGCAGTGGTTCATAATTTGGGCTGGACAACACAACATGGCATAAGATCCCCCTTTCTTTTGTCAACAGCATGCTGTTGTTGCTGAGTGCTGGGAGGGAGGAAGAACCACTCTATGAAACAGAAGGCAGCCTCCTCAGGTGGCTTGCACACCTCCCTCTGGTCACCTCAGAAACCAGGATACCTCTCCAAACACAATCACCTGTCAAGGTCGCAGGACATGCAATTTAAGAAAAGACAAGTAAGTGAGGCTGAGCAATGACTGAAATAAGGACATACAAAGACCATAGAAAGTAAAATCCCCAATAAATGAGTGTGATTACATCATTTTGGTGGTCAAGACCACACCCCCTACAATGCCTACTGGTTGCCTATTTAGAGTGCCTTTCCTTCAATAAAACTCCCTAAATGGGGGGAATTACCAATTCCATGGTTTTCATGAAGCCCAGAGGTCCACCAAATGTTTGCTGTGGCAGACTTTTCTCATGAAGGGCTGCCCATATAGTTCTACAAGAAAAGCACGCTTTGTTCTAAAGATGTACAGTGTTTCCCCAGTGAACGTTGTAATTGACAACCACCAGAAGAGTAACAGTGCAAAGCAATGAGAGCTCTAGTTTCTCCCATTCTTGCCAGACCCATCTTGATTGTTTCTTAGGTTTACTAGACCAGTGTGAACCTACTCTTTATTTGAACACATATGTAAGTAGATGCTTATGTATTACAACAGTCAAATCTTAAAGACCAAAAGATTTATTCTCTCAAATTTCAAAGAAAGGAAATTTCACTTAATTCCCAGCTCAGAATGTCAGATCCCTCCACACAGAATAAGCATATTATACAAAAATGAAACCATGCCTTTTCCATGTAAAGAGGGACCCTAAAAAAATAATGCATGATGAGCTCTTCAGAAATAGTTGCATGAGAATATTAAAGGCACTGTTATTCAGTGGACTCATTATAGGATAAAAGTTCAAGTACCAGAAGCAGTGATTTTCATATGAATGTTGGGTATTGCCAGTCACATACAAGAGGCTATCATCTACATAGAAAACCAAGTCACATCAAGCAAGTTAGGGAGCTTTGAGTGACACAGTACAGAGAAGGCTGTTCAGATAAGAGACAGACATTACTGGCCCCTTTTTCAAAGAAAACTTTGAAGATTTTGTTAGGCTTTCTTAGTTGAACTGTCACAAGTAACAATACAATTGTAAATGAGTGGTGCTCAGTGCCACATCACTGCCATTTATAGACCAGCTGCCAATGGCTGCCCAAGATGAGGAATTAGCATTAAAGAAGGACTTGAGGTTACTGGGCTGACACTCAGCCCAATAAGAATATTCTCAAATGAAGTATGGCACCTAACACAGTCATACAAATCAAAACCAAAATAAAAGCTCCTGTCTTGGGGAAAAAAAAAAGGATCAAAAAAGAATCCTCCTTCTACTTGCTGAATATTCCTGAAATCTCCCCCTTATTCAAACAGTGTCCAGGACCCCACAGTAAAAATAAACAAACAAACCATGTTCTTCCAGTTGCATTAAGTGAACTGAAGTTGGCGAAAGAGGTAGAAAATATAACACAAATTCCTCCTCCTTTTTCTAAGCAGAAAGTAGAGAAAGGAACCAAAGGAGAAAAGAACCTCAGAAGTCAGATGGCCCGAATCCAAACTATTCTAATGTGGACCTCAAGCTGTGGATGAGTCCCTTAGCCTCTAAGTCTCCAAGTCCTCAACTGCATAGGAAATGACTCCTCTGGATCAGCAGATCTGAATTGCACCATCAGAGCTCTAGGATTTTCCTGGAGAAGCCTCTGGGTCAGTCAGAGTGACAAGAGAGTAAAGCTCCATGCTTCCTCTCAACCCCAAACAGGTGAGAGTTGATCCATTTTCTACATTGAGTTCTGAGGAAAGGTTTCTGTTTAAAGAGTTCTATTCCAATTCATAGGTGAAATGGCTTAAAAGCATTATAGCAATACACTTTTTAAATTTTTATTATTATGTAGTTTCTATTGCCTCTTTGAAATATTATAATTAATATGATTAGTATCCATTCTCAAATCTGTATATTATTTTGTCTTCTTCTTACTTAAAAGGTAAAGAAACTGAACAGCTAACACATGTACCCCGAAATTAAACTCAGTATTTGATAGGATTCATACCTAGGAATATCTGATATTAAAACCATGAAACTCAATTCTATCTTTACAGTTAAAAAATAAACTTCATTGTAAAAAACAAATTTGTTACCTCATTATTACTATGGAAATCAAGTTCTTTGTTATTATTCCCTAGGAGTTAAATACTTACCCTGGTGAGATGAAATGAATAGCCACAAGTTCTGCCCAAGAAGCAAATCTGTTTGGTACAGGAAAGCCCAAAACATTGACAAAGCCTCCAGGGCAATAGTGGTTGTTAAGAACTTTCAAAGCAAACAAAACTCCTAAAAAAGAATAAAGAACATATAAATATCAACGATCCAAATGTGGAGAGAATAAGCATTTACAAAGAGAAGTAATTAAATATGAAAATGATTATTCGATTACATCAAATTTTTTGCTTTGAAACATACTCTATTCCTTAAAACCCAGCAACTGTTCAAGGCAATTATCCATTTGATGTTTCTTAATACAGATGTTCATTCTGACTTTCAAAATGCTATTAAATATATAACATACAAAATGGGAATGAGATATCAGCAATGGTATTAAATGCTACTGAATTGTCTGCTTTGAAACAGTTGATTTTATGTTATATGAATTTTAATTCAGTGAAAAAATACAGGTAATACTTTTTCTAACCTCTATAGAAAGATATTTTGGGATGGTGAAGTAAGAAAAGGGAAGTATTAGATTTCCTTGTTTCAGGATTATTTCCCTCCTCCCCATCACATTCTAATATTTAGAACACCTAATTTAAGTACCAATGGCAATTTCAGTACCATGGAATACCTGTAAAAACAGAACTGAGGAGGAAAGCTGAGAAGTAATGTATTACATGGTTGAAGGAAGCATGCTGGGTTCAAATCCTAGCCCTACTACTTACTAGCTGTGTAACCTTAAGGTAGTTATGTCACTTTTCTGAGTTTTTGCTTCCTCATGTATAATACCAAAATGATGCCCCTTCCTTATGGATCTGCTGTATGAATTAAAGACAATGACCTGTATAGGGTGATTATGATGGCTCCTAAAATATGCAAGCCATGGTGAGGTGTGGGCATTTAGTTTAATCAAATTATTGAGAGGCAAGTGCAGATGGTTCTCCAGATTGCCTTGGTTGGACTGATCCAGTTCTGCCTCTTTCTCACTTATAGTTCTCAAGAATAACCGTACAATATACTAAATGCAGCATCCTGAGACGAAGGGGGAAGTGACTAGATAAGTTCAGCCTCTGTTCTAGTCCCCTCCTAGAATAGGATGTCCTTCAAAGTTTTGCTCAGTAATTCAAGCTACCCTCAGGTACATTTACATAGAGAGTTGTTTTGGGGGTTCATCTGTAGTGCAAGTGGGTTACACACAGTTGAGACTCCATCTGCCCTGGGAAACTTTCTGAACCAGAGGGACCCACTCAAAATGAATCCCAAACATATATTTCCCCTTACTACCTATCTGTGAGCAATATATTTGCTTTGTGCAACTCATTACATATGAGTATGTTCTGTGCCTCATCCAATTCGGGTAAGTTGGTAACTGCTTCTCAGGCATATCCATTTATTTTGAGAACTCCCTACTACAAATGTCTTGTGGGTCACTCCATGGCTCTACCATGATGAGGCCAGTGTACACTTCTGGTACTACACCTCCTACAAAATCACCTTCTAGTAATCCCTTGTCCAGATTGCCCAAGAGTGAATGATACAGAATAATGTGTAACAACAAAAGTGATGTTCTTCCTGTGCTCCAATCAGCATGTTCTTCAAGATTACAGGGCCAGTGCCCTTAACCATTCAGGATTCAGTCTCCTTAGTAACTAAAGAACATTGCAACCATACCTCCTTCACGGTCCTCATGCATGCTACCTCAGAAATTTGTCTGCCTTACCTGAGAAACCAACAGCACAGTTCCTTCTAAAGTCAGGCTCACCCATCAGTTCAGAAATAGCAAACTGCAAGAGCAAATACACCACCCCAGTGAGAATGGAGAATACGATGATGACATAGGCAAACCATCTACTTCCGAGTCTTCTCTCCAGATTGATTCCTTTCCAGAGCATGGACACCATATTAAAATACAAATGCCAATCGTCCGCATGGTGAAGAGGAGAAAGCAATAAACGCTGCCAGTCTTTTTGCTGGTAACACTTTTCCACACTAAGGCAGGAGTTAAGCAGTGGCTTCAGAGGATTCAGGAACAACCAAACGTTGAGGGCCAAGGTTGCTAGAGTGACTGGTGGAATATTGTTGATCCCAACATGGAAGATTTGAGAAAGCAGCAGAATGAGCCCAGTATTAACCCCTCTTGATCTCCGCTGCATGGTTTGGTATCAGGAACACAGTCCAGTGAGGGGAGATGTGGTCAGGTTTTAGAAACCCAGACAGCTGAACCTAAAACATACATGTGAAACTCCATCAATTAAGAATTAGTACATTGGATGTTCACTTAAAGATGGGCTCTCATTAAGTATCCCTATAACCAATTCCATCAGAGCTATTTGTTTTCAGAGTCTTCCAGATTAACATACAGAATGCTGGCTGTTACCTCATTTTACATTCTAACATAGCAATTTTATCCCAAATCCCAAAACCCAGGTAATGGATAGGTATGCTTTTGCTGACAAATATCTTATGAACTTTAAATCTTATCTTTCTTATTAAAAAAAAAAAAGTATAGCTAGCGCCAGTGGCTCACACCTATAATCCTATGTAATCCTACCTACTCAGGAGGCAGAAATTAGGAGGGTCATAGTTCGAAGCCATATTCTCACAAATACTTTGTGAGACCCTATCTTCAAAATATCAATACAAAACAGGGCTGGTGGAGTGGCTCAAGTGGTAGAGCACCTGAGTAGCAGAGGTGAGGACCAGAGTTCAAACCCCAGTACCACCAGAAACAAACAAAAATATTTTTTTTAAAAGTATAACTGATGAAAAGTCTAGAGATACATATTTTTATTTTTTTTTTATTTTATTGTTTTTACATTTACTTACATGTGTTTACTATGCAAACATTTAGCAATTTTTACTCAGAATCCTGGCGAGGGTTCTTTACCTTCCATTCTAAATGCCAACAAACAGATTTTAATATGCTATGTTCCACTCCAGATACTGTCAGATACCAACTTCCTAAATGCTGCTTTTCTTAAATTGTTTAAGTTCAGAGAAATAGGAATGCATGTTTCTCCTGTTACAATGTCACACCCCTCCCCAAGAACTGTTGCTCCACCTCCTTGTTTACCACTGGTTATAAAAGACCCGCTGAAGGAGGACTTAAGGTTTTTTCATGGGATTTTGATTGGCTGACTGTGGCTGCTTGTGAGGCTGCTGTGAGAATGACACTGCTGCAGCTGAGTTATGCTAGAGATTAAAGGGAACAAGGGACAGTGCAAGTCTGCACCGAGAACTTTATACGTAGGCTTTAGAAAAGGTAAGCTAAAGAAAAGCTAAAGAGAACATGGGACAGTGCAAGTCTGAGGAACAAGACTTTAAGAGCAATTAAAGAAAACATGAGCCAGAGCGAGTCTAAGGATAGAAAAGAAGGTTTTAAAGAAAGACTTTAGAAGTAAGGTTTTTAAAAAGATAGAGAAAAGAAGCAGAGTAAAGAGAAGAGAAGTAAAAAAAGCAATGAGGTTGTTGTGTGTCTCCATCCAAGTGCTCAGCACAGCTGGCCCCAGTTTTATGCATGTCTATCTTCTATCATTTGTCCTTTCTGCATCTCCAGTAGCCACCAGTTAGGTCAGTAGACAAGGAAGGAGAGAAAGCTTGCTAAATTCTAATAAGGCTCAAATGTACTAATATGGATTGTTAATATAAGCGTGATGTCCCCAAATTGGGCATATGTATGTATTTGTATACTCACACATAATTAGTCCAACACACACACACATCCATTACGAACACAAGCAAATTTCTTTATTGCCATTGACATTTTTTTTTTTTTGGCCAATACTGGGGTTTGAACACAAGGCCCCACCCTTGCTAGGCAGGCATTCAACCACTTGAGCCACTATGCCAGCCCCCACTGATTTTTTATTGTAAAAATAAATAACAAATTCCAACTAAAAAGCTCCCAAAAAACTGGAGAAATGGCCATTTTTTACATTGGAACACAGGTTGACTTTCAATTCTCCAGCCCCTGAGACTCTTGCTATGTGCCTAAATAACATGTGTTTGTGTATACATAAATACAGAGATACTTATATATATAAATGTATGTATACATATACATGACATCCTTACTTGTAATAGGAACAACAGAAAAATATGGCCTTGATCATTGATCATTAAATAATCAGTATACAAGAAATCACAAAATAAACCTTTCAATATCTGTGCAAACTGGTTCCTATGGAAGGGTGCTGGGCTGGTTGCAATTTTAAAAATCAAAACTAATTATATCTTTGCTTAAGAAATGGCTCTCCCTGAATTAGAATCACTACTGATAAAGAATATAAATAAAAGGAGGAAACTTCCCCAGTCTTATTTCAACTTTGGGTACTTCTGGTCAAACCCAAAGGTTTCTTTCATTTTCATCCCTTCACTTTCCAGCGCTATCTCCCTAAGGGTTGGTTGCTACTGCTCTATGGGACACTTTGTTTCTGCAGCTTCATACTTCTTCCAAACCCCTTCTCTGCTGTTCACTTTCCTTCTATTCTTACCCTCTCCTATGTACCTCCACTCTCATGGCTTCTGTAATTCTTTATATCACATGACTCTCAAATTTATGTTTCAGCCTTGATTTCTAGCTGCTTTCCAGGACATAATCTTAAAAGAGGAATAGTTTGCCTACTCTCTTGACTTCTGAAAAGTGAATTGTCCTTGACACAAAATGATGATTCAGTCAATCATTCTTTCACTCATCTATTTAATAAATATTTATGAAATGCCAAATGCATGCCAGTTCCTATGCCAGGCACTGAAGGTACAGCAAAGAACATTTAATAATCTCAGCCTCTACATGGTTATTTCTACTTATTGAAGGAAAGTACTGGTTGCAATAAAGCAAAAGATGAATGAAATTATGTGGTGTGAATCCTCAATGAATACATACTCAATGCAAAGGCAGATATAACCATAGCCAAAGTGACAAAAGCAAATCTTTGGTTCCATATTCACTAGAGCATCCTTATAGATAGGATATAAGTTTTAAGTAGCAAAGATAAATCCATCCTACTTCAAAACAACTTTATGGGACAATTCCTTTCCTATCAAGTTGACCATCCAAGATGAGGAAAGAAATCTGTAACAGGTTAACTTACAGAATCCAACAGATCTCTGTGAACATTAAATTTGTAACTTAACCTTGTAAGCTAGGCAAGCAAAGTCCTAGAAACATCATGGAAAATAGATCACAAAGGGTGCATTAGCTATAAAATGAATAGCTAATGTCCTACCCATTGAATACACAGAAATGTTTAGAGTGCTGTGCTGTACGACACCACAAAGGCATGATCAATTATAGCAGCTTATCTATGGCCTGGCTTCCCATCTAGTTTGGTTAATTCTCTGAATTAACTGGATATTTTATTCCTGTGCATCATTGGCTGCAAAGTGACAAATCCCATTTTGGCCACAAATCAATTAATATTCCAGCCTTGCTCTGAAGAGGGAAATAACAGATTTTTGATATTGTATATGCTTCCCATCAACCAGTTATTGGATATTTGGAAATGGCTAGTGATCGTTCTGCCCAAATTTTGAAACCTGTTTTGAAACATGCAGTACAGCCTGATTCCATCATTCACTCCAATTCATAGGCTGCAACATAATAACATTCAGTCTCTCGGCCTTGGTTTTTCCAACATGCTCAGGTTAACCATAATGACCTCCAACTTCCGGCTTCTGTCACTTGTTGGCATGCATACCCAAAACATCAAGTCCCATTGGAACAAACATAAAGCAAAGTGGAAAGCCATGAGAATTCATCATGGTACATTGGACTCTTAACCACCAGCATAATTTGCATGATTACAACAAACTCTGATTCTCTGCTTACTTTCTGACCATTTTCCACCAATGCTCAGAGTAATCTTGAATAAAACTGAAGTTGAGTTCCCCAGCAGTAAGCCTTCAATGGCTTATCCGGGAATAAATTCCAAATTCTTTATTATAACTGTACACATTAATACTAGTTTCCTGCTCACCTCTCTGGTCTTATCTCACAGGGACAGACTCTGCCACCGTCACTATGCTCCCGGCATACTGGTGCTTCCATATCAAAGGCATAGGCAGGTAAGGGCGGGAACTGCTTTCCCCAATTTGACCACAATTACCCAGCGCTACCATGTGACCTTCATGAAAACACAGTGACCGGCATATGGTCCGTGCTTAAAAAGTATTTCCCAAAGGACTCCACATTGGTATTTTTTAAGGTGACTACAATATTCAATAAAGGAGATTGATTAAGAAAGTTTTAATACCTGTATGTTCATCTTTAAGTATTTTTCCTGCAATTGTAACAACCATTCCCATAGAACTATACATTTTAAAGTTTTCTGGTTCCAGAACAGTTTTTGCAACATTTACCTCAACTTCATACAAATAAACCTCTGATTCATTTAAAATGTATTGATAAAATTGTCTTGCTAGAATTACTTGACAAACAAAATAGCATTTTAATTATGTAGTAATACACACTAGACAATACTATATAAAGATTGTAGCAGGGAGAAATGGAAGATTTGTTGAAACACTGATAGGAAAATTAGCTATATTTACTTTTAATGAGAAATTAAAAATTAAACAGACATGTAATAAGAAAAACTAAGCAGCTAGAACAAACAAAAGAAACTGAATTCATAACTTGGGAAACCAATGTGTCTCAAGGGGGAGAGAAAGGAGTAAAAACAGAAAAGAAACTAATTACAATGATTTTCAATTCTACTTACAAAGCAGAAAATATTTCACTGTTACCATTTGCCAAGGCAGTATATATCTCAATTTTGAAATTTAAATGTTCAATAAGAATTGAGAACATTAAATTGCAAGAATATACACCAGCCATAAATTCTATTCCCAATTTGGTATCTGATACTAACAAAATTAATTTCACAAGAAAGACACTATAGCCTTAATAGGAGTAATTAAATATTGCTCTGAGGATGGAAACTTCTATGTTATAAGTGTAACAAATTCTAAAATTGTCCAATGAAATGGTCTGAAATTATGTGTTTCCATTTAAAACTCAGAAAAGATTTGGTGTTATAAATCTCAGAAAGATTATTGCTATGTCATTACTATTTTTATACCTTTGGTAAATTTCATTTAACAGCTTAAGCATATTCTCTTTAAAAAAATCAAAGGAGAAAATGTAATTTTTGGCAAGTTATTTATGGAACACATACTATCACACAGGCTCAGTATTTCCAGATACTTAAGCTTTAATTTTT